TTTCAAGCTTCTTAGAATGGAAGCTTATGTTATTGATTTTAATCCCTTCTTCTTGTTTAATATAAGCCTTTAAAGCTACAAATTTCTAAGTTTTGCATTAGCTGCATCCCACAAATTTTAATACATTTTTTTGTTACTTTGTTAGAAATATTTTCTAATTTCTCTTGTGAATTCTTTTTGAACTGTGCATTGTTTATAATTGTGCTGCTTGAATTTCAAGTGTTTGGGGATTTTTCTAGATATCTTACTGATTTCTAATTTAATTGTTTTGGTTGGAGATCATAATCTGTATGATTTTAAGCCTTTGAAATCTATTGAGATTTGTATTGTGGCCCAATATATGGTCTGTCTTGGTAAATAGTCCATGTGAACTTGAAAAGAATGTGTGTCCTGCATTTTTGAGGTATGGTATTATATATACCATGTGAATTAAGTCAAATTACTTCTTACTGTTATTTAAAACTTCTATATCCTTACTGTTATTTTTTTGTGTTTATTATTGTTTCGGTTTTTGAAAGGAGGTGTTAAAATTTCCACCTGTGGTTTTGGATCTGTTTATTTCTCCTTTTAGTTCTGTCCATTCTTGCTTTTTGGATTTGGAGTTTTGTTACTTAGGTACACACATATTCAGAATTATTGTATCTTGATAAATTAGCCCTTTGATCATTATAGAATGACCCTCTCTATTTCTGGTAACTCTCCTCGACTTGAAGTCTGCTTTGTCTGATATTAATATAGTTGTGCCAACTTTCTTATACTTATTTTTTGCATGGTTTATCTTTGTTCTTCCTTTTTCTTTCATCCTCTGTGTGTCTTTATATTTCAAGGAAACGTTTTGTAGGTTGGTTTTCTTTAAATCTAGTCTGATAATCTCTGCCTTTTAAGTAGAGTATTTGGTTCATTTACATTTTATGTAAGTAATGAACTGATTGAGTTTAAGTCTACCATCTTACTGTTTGTTATTTAATTTCATTTATATGTTTATGTATTTTGTATTCCTTTGGCCTTCCCTTCCAAATCCTCCCTTTAATTTATTTGAGTAGTTTTTAGTATAACATTCTTTCTCCTATTGTCCTTTTAGCTACAGCTCTTTGTGTCATATTTGAGTTATTATACACTAAAATCATCCATAATTTATCATTGTCTACCATGAATTAACATCATAACACTTCAAATACAATGTAAAAACCTTAAACACTCTTAATTCTCTTTATACTTCCTACTGTCCTTTGTGCTATTATACTCAAATGTTTCACTTCTACATATTTTGTGAATCCCATAATACATTGTTACTACTTTGGCTTTTAACAGTGAGCTGACTTTTAAAGAATTTAAGAAAAGAAAGAAAAATCACATTCCACTTTATTCTGTAATTCCCAAATAAAGGACAAGGAGACTCATTTCCTCCCCAAAAACCCCCACTAATTTTTAAATGTCTTCCTTGGAACAAGCCATCAGAGAACCATATCCACCCTCTATGCAGAAAACATTGAGACTTGAAGTCATCAAGAAAAGAAAGCTATACCTGCATGATATCCAGGCACTTTGTCTGCCCTGTGGACTTCACCATTTATAGTGCACTCTCGCACACCTTCATGGGATCATCACTGCAGCCCTGTGTGGGGTACATTGTAGAAATCCTCATTGTCCTTCATGCAGATAAAGAAACTGAGGCTCAGAGTGATTAAGGGACTTTCCTAAGGGCACACAGCTAGCTTCTAGTAGTCAGGGCACAACACAAGGCCTCTGACTTTTTGCACATCTGTCCCCAGGCAGACAGATACAGTTCCCCATTCTCTTTACCACTTGTCTGAGCCTCCCTCCTCAGAGGCCTGGCACTTGAATAACATAAATACAGAGAGGAAATGCGTGTGGCAATTAAGAGCACTGACCCTAAAGTCAAGACAGCTGACTTGAAACCTGTTTCTGCCACTCACCGGCTATGTGACTTGGGGCAAATTCATAATCTCCCCGAGTCTGTCCTCTTCTCTGTTAAATAGTGAAGCTAGTTTTAGAGGTTATTGTGAGTATCATATGGTATGTATGGTTTTCTGTTGTTATTTTTTTAGGATATTTTATTTGAGAGAGAGCATGCATGTGCAAGTGCATGAGTGGGAGGAGAGGAAGAGGGAAAAGCAGACTCCCTACTGAGCAGGGAGCCCAATGTGGGGCTCAATCCCAGAACCCAGGGATCATGACCTGAGCCAAAGGCAGATGCTTAACTGACTGAGCCACCCAGGCGCCCCAGTTTTCTATTGTTAATTAACAGATTACCATACACTTAACAGCTTAGAACAGCACAGATTATTATCTCTTAGTTTCTGTGGGTTGGGAGTCCAGTACAATCTTCCTGGGTCTCCGTTCAGGGTCCCAAACAACTAAAGATGTTGACTGGGGCTGCTGTCTCGTCTGAGGCCCAGGGCCTCTTCCAGGCTCATTCAGGTTGTTGGCAGAGTTCAGTTGCTTGTGGTTGTAGGACTGAGGTACTGGTTTCCTTCCTGGCTGTCAGCTGGAGGCTGTTTCCTGCCACACGGCCCCTCCATGGTCGAGCCAGCAGTGGTGCATCAAATCCTCCTGTTTCTAAGCTCTGACTTTGGTGTCACTGATTTCTAGACTCGATTTAAAAAGGGTTTATTTGATTAGATCAGGCCTACCATTAATCTCCCTTTCTTAAAGTCATCTGTTCCATGTAACCTAACAATCCCAGTTATAGAAATGAAATCCACCATTTTCACAGTCCTGGGGATTATTATACAGGGGGTGAGGAATCTCAGGGGCCATCTTAGAATTGTGCTTACCACACAGGGTAATGTAGGTGAATTGTCCAGCATAGGGTCTGGCATGTTGTGAGCATTCAGTCATTGTTCACCATCAACATCACTATCCTGGATGGAAAACGAGTTTCAATTAAAGGATAGCAAAATCAGCATTGCAACCAACTAAACAGTCCCCTAACCTCAGTGACTTGGCCAGAGATTCTTAGATTCTGGGCTACCCCATCCATGGACACTGTCACCTACAGTTATGTCTTCTTGGTGCCAGCCCAACCGGCTTAGAAAGTCGGAAAAATCCATCCTTCGATTGTTTAATCTACATAAAGCCAACTATCACTTTGAAAAAAATCTGAACTTCCTAGTTACCTACCTTGGCATCTTGTATAGCTTTAGATCTGTCTAGATGAATGAATCAAATGTAATCCTTTCTAGTCTGATAAATCTGTGAATAGATGGGAGTTTTCCATGAGTTTCATTGTGTAAAACATCAGCTTGATCCTAGAGGCCTAAGTAGTTTCTTAGAATAGGATTTAACCCCAAACCACCCACTGCAATGGTTTCTCACAAATTAAATCCATTATATAAATGGAATCACTTGAAGACTGTTTCAAAAAATAGCTTCTCAGTCAACACATGGGAGTAATTCATGAACCTCCTAAAACCATTTGTTGTTTCCCTTCTTGCCTCAAGGTCAGAGAGAGATGTTATTTTCTTATTTAGAAACCTATCCAAATGCTCCCAAAGCAGTCCATAATTCCCCATATGTTCTTCACCATGCATACTTTTATTATTTGTCATCCAGTTGTCTTTGCCGAATAATTTTCTCTTTCAAGAGTTTTTTATTTAACAACAAAAAAGAGTTTTTTAAAAATCGTCTGCGTTCTGTATTATTTCAATTATCTTTCATTGTTAATACCTTAGTATTCTCAAAGACACAGTTTTCTCCAAATTTGTCATTAGCTGCCACATGCTTCAATCCAGTCTTATGCATTAGCCCTCTCAATAAACCAGATAAAAATAGATCTCCTCTCCTTGATTCCAGAGAAGGGGGTTAGATGTCCCCCCACCCTTAGTGTGGCTCTGAGTCCCCTCTGGGTCCCTCAAATACCATGGAGCACAGCGTGGAAACCCCATTTCGAAAAGGGTAGTTCACAGTGTGGTCACAGGAGCCCTGAGGACTGAGAATTCTTTGGGATTCGGGGAGGACTGCAGGAGAGGTGTTGCTGCAGTGTAAGTGGTTATAATGTGAGCCTGTGTGTGTTTGTCTCTCCAGAACTCAATCACCCACTTCCTTTCTGCCTTGTTGGTAGCTCCTTAAGGCAACTCAAACTATGCTCTGTCCCTGTTGAGATTTCCTTGCAGAGTCAGGCCTCCCTCTGCGGTCCCTGTGCTCGGTCAGCCGGCCCGAGGGACACCCTGACATGTGTGACACCCATCAGTGTTCCGGAAAAGCGTGACAGGGACTTTGCCACCCTTTCTCTCTCTCTCTGTCTCTCTCCCTGGACCACTACCTCCCCTTCTCCATCCCCCCCCCAACCTCCCTGGCCCCCATCCCTCCTCCCGTTTATAGATATATTTCTGGAACCCTCGTCTGCACCCAAGGGTAGGGGGATGGCCAGGAAGGTAAAAATTGTGGCCAGCTGTGATTGCTCATCCCCACATATTCCCCACTGCGAGGAGAGCAGCTACAGAACTGAGCCACTCTGGGCCAGAAGAGTCGTTGGCACAAAGAAAAGCAATGAGGGAGGCAAAGCCATCAGTCTTGGGCTCCCAGGAAGCTGTGCCCCAACGATAGAACCTACAGTTCCAATGCTGCTATGATTCATGGGTTTTCTTTATTATTTTATTTTGCCTTAAGTTCCCTAGGAAGAATTCCCTTTAAAAAAAAAATCCCAACCTCTTATTACCTGTACTCCCTTCTGGAGAGAAGAGGGAATTTTCTGGCCCAGCCAGCACAGCTTGGGCGATCAGGGTTCCCAGGGAGGACGGGAACAGAACCACAATGGAACTGGGGAAGGCCAAGGTCACCCAAGCCTTCCCCTCAGCCGCATGCCCTGGGTTCCTGCGTGGGCAAGCGCGCCTGTCCCTCCTGGGGTTTAGAACTATAGAAGCTGTGAAGAGAAAAGTAAAACAAATAAATAACATGGAACGATTGGGTCCTTGAACTCTCCAAGAGAATCATTTTGAAAAGTATCTTCAAGGGATTTGGTTTGTTTTTCCCTTCAGAACAGAGACCAACCGTGATGGGGAGGAATCCAGCTCTGCCTGCCGCCCAGGCAGCCTCTCCAAATTGCGTAGGTCAGAGAGAACATGTTATTTATTAGAACCTGACATCTGTTGCTGTAAAATGATAAGCTCCCTTAAAAAGCCTGGCCATCCCTTACTGCTAATACAGCCCTCATCCCGAGAGAGCTGCTTACCGTCCTTCCAGCCCGCACCGACCTGGCCGTACCAGGCACAGAGCGTTTACAGCCCCGCTCAGCCTCCTCACTCCCCTTGGGCAGGACCCCCCAGGCCCTCTTTATTAGGCCCTGCCGCTGTGTCCCTGGCTTCTTTTGAGTCCACGCTTTGACCTTTCTGAGGTCTGCTTTAAGGACTGAACCTTGCCCCCCTTCCCCATCCATCCTGCCTCCTGCTTTCTCAGTGGAAAACAGGGTGAGGGTAAGCCAGAAGAAACCGCACATGAAAAGAGTAGCTGGAAAATCAATACATTTTTGTTGGGGAAATGAACCGAGTTGTACTGTTGTAAAGCTACCAAGTGCTCAGGGGAAGGTTCTGATGATCCCTTCCAGCCACTGTGAAAATGTGGTGATAACCAAATACAGTGACTTCCTCGTTTGTGAGTTATGGTCATTTATTCTCTTCCTTGGGAAAATAGGCAGATGTCTTACAGAGCCGAAAGGCTAGGGAAATTGGTTTGGGATTTTTATAGCACACCAAAGTAGAAACATGCATTTATCAATGGAATCAGAATTGCCTTTGAACTGTTGGAAGAAGAAATGTAGCAGTAAGTAAAGACAATGCAAAGAATAGTGACCTGGGAGTTGGGAGACCTTGGTCTCATCTGGGCACGATTATTAATTGCACATGTGATCTTAGGAAAGAAACTTCACCTTGGGCCTAGTGCCCTCATCTAAAAGCACTGGGCTAGTAGCTGATGATCACTAAGTTCCTGTATATTTGGGGGATTTTAAGTGAAAATTGCGTGTAAGGTAGCTTAGCATGCTTTTTTATTCGTGTTGAGAAAATTCCATCTCTGTTGCCAGAGGTCAGACGCAAATTGAAAACATTACTAAATGGAATTAACTACGCTCTGTACGTGATGCTTTTTTGTACAACCCATATCTGGTATTTATAGAACACTTCAGTTGCGGAACGTGCACACATATGCCCTGACACACACCCAGTAAAATACTTCTAGATGTAATACATTTTCAGATGTCAAGTTAAAACAGCTTCTTGGGAATTAGGCTTGACTGTTCCGATGTATGTGTTGGTTTCTGACAGGTGCCGCCAGGGCTGCTCAGGGCTGTCATGTGTGATGTGGAGTCCAGCCAAGGCAGGAGGGCCAAGTTGCTTGTTTCTATCACTTCTCATTAAGGCATGAGTTCTAGAAAAAAGGGAAGCAGCAAAGAAGAGTCAGGCCCGTCCATTCTGTGCACATCATTAATGACAAGCAGAGGCCTTATTTCTTCAGAAATGGGATTCTGTCTTGTGTGTTGTCAGATCATTCAGCATAGGGGGCACCTGTGAAAATAAACAAGATTCAGGACTTGTTGAAATGCAGCTTTATAGAGGTGAGCAGAAACAAGGAGCAGATTTTGGGGCAGTTACCTCTGCTTGGAGACCAGCAAAATCGCCAATAGCAGAGCTAAGTTGGGTGGCCACGCAGAAGTGTAGGTGTGACCGTGGAGACCCGTCTCAGGACACGGAGCTTGGAAGGAGCCTTAGAAACCATCTAGTACAGCCAAGATGGAGTATGGTAAGCATTAACCATTGTGGTGGGAATTGAATGAAATAATTGGCATAAGACCCTTAGCACAGCAATTGGCATAGACTTGACGTTCAAGTCATCATTTTCATTTCCTGGAAAAACGTGTTCAAGACCATACAGTATGACGATTAGAACACTATGCCCATGCTCACTGGTCCAGGGTCCAACCCAAGCCACCTCTGACCTCCCACCTTTACTCTGCCTGTTGCCCACTCCCTTGCTCACAGGAGTGGTACAAGGAAATCAGTGCCCACATCCACACACCCATCCACCCACCCACTGTGTGGCCGGCCATTTCCGTGGTGGCTCACCTGGAGGCTGAGGGCTGCTGTGGCCATGAGGGAGAGGAGAGCCCAGGGTACTCTCGAGCAGAAATAGCTCTTCTGGGATTATAGAGACCTGGCACTGAGTACCTTTAAGGGAAAGTAAACATTCCTGTGGCCAAACTTACCACTAGAATCAGGGGGCAAAAGAAGAAAGGGGGGGTGTCGTAATGGAGCGGGCCAAAGGATGGATGCTCGCTGCTTCACAGCCTCCAACCTAGCAGGAAGGCTGCACGTGGAGAAGAGGATGAAAAATTCCAGTGACTCTTATCTTCCCAGACAGACAGATCCCCTGCCACTTAGTCATGCCTGGTGGAAAATGGAAGCCAAGAAAGCAGAAGTGAGCCTGGAGTGCTCTAGGGTCGTCCTTAATCTGAGGTCACTTTGGAGGAGAACAAGTCCTTTGCCTCCTGGGTGCCCTGGCCGGTCAGGGCCGAGTTGCCAGGTGGAGATGCTGTGGCTTGAGTCAGGAGAACAGGCTTCAGGGCGGCCATGATTGTAAGAACCAAGTATAACGGTGGCTTCTGCAGTTAAGTTATTGCTAGTAATTCATTCAGCAAACATTTCAGGGCGATATATACGATATACAGAGTGTGTGCAAGGCACTAGGGACCACAACACACCCAGTTTGAAGAGCCCCAACTATAGAGTGTGCTGATGGATTTGGAGGGTGGTCCATCACTGGTTGACATTCCATTCTGACAATGGGGTTTAACTACTTAGTACACTGGGTATGAGTCAGAATTACAAAGTGAGGAGCTCTGTCGCTCTTCTAAAAATCAAAATCAAAATTTAGAAGACCAGAATTTCCTATTATCGGTCATTTTAGGGATCAGATAGTCTTTAAATGGTCATTATTGCAGTTGGCCAGAAAAGTGAAATTTACAGGAGCATATCTGTAAAGGCACAACTGTTGTTTTCTCAACAGAAATGATAGTGGATCCCCCAGTCTCTCCTGATCATCTGGTAGGTGATGGGGGTGAGGATGCAGATGATGATAAATGTGCGCCTAGTGCTTGCACTGTACCAGCACGGCTCCAAATGCTTCATAGATTTTCAATTCCTATAAATCTCGTAACAACACTATGAGATCAATACTGCCATTGTACCTATTATACAGATTATGAAGCTGAGGTCCTGCAAAGCAAAATGACTCGTCCAAGGTCACAGGGTAACATAGCACAGGAACTGAGAATATACCTCGGGTTTCCCGATTTTTTGACTGCATTCTGCTCTTATACTGCCCCACCTCTCTTCCCCCTTGATTGCCTGAGTTCTCCCGCCTTGGCCAGGCAATTGAGCTCACCATTCTGTTGAGAACTACAGAGTCTCCAGGCTCTCAGCCTTTGCTGACACCTAGGTTTGGAGTGCCCCAGGGTGGCCTTGCAGATATTTTGATTAGGCTCTCCCCACATCACCAGCACCCTTCCATCCATCAGTCCATCCAGCCAGCCAGCCAGCAAATGTTTACTGTATTCAGAGTAGGTATCAGGCACCATGATGAGTGATGTGTGGGACCCCGGCCCTGCCTTCACTGCCCCAGAGGTAGGGGGGAGTGCTACATAAAGGGCTGTCTTCTGAGGCAGCAGCATGCGCTGTGTGCAAGGGGGACGCAGTAGGAGAGGAAAGGACGTCTGTTTCCCGAGGTCAAGGAGGCTGACATTGGAGTGTGGGTAAGATGTGATCGAGGGAGGACATTTCCTGCCACAGGGAAGAGACCGCCCAGAGGCCAGGAAGCAGGGGGGTTCTGGGTAGCCAGGATACACTGAAGAGGGCAGCAGTGGATGAGGCAGGAGAGAAAGAAAAGAGGCAGATAGCAGTCTGCAGGGGGGAGGGAACATGTGCTCTGAAATCAGACCAACCAGAATTCGAATCCTGGTTCTGCCATTCTGCGGTAGTATTTTGTTACCCTTGTAGACGTTGGTTTTCTCATCTGCACGTGAGGGTAACAGTCCTCTTTCACAGAGGATTGTGAATGTTCTATGGGAAGCTCATTATAAAATGCTGGTATATTTTTGGTGTTCGGCCAATGGTAACCGCGGTTATTAACTGCCACGCTAAGACATTTGACCTTTTCTTCTGTGGGCAACGAGGGTTTTCTTAGATTCAGAAAGTACATATTGATACAGTGTTCTTCCTGGGAGTAGATGTATAAATCCCAATAGATCCTTCTTAGCCTGGGAACCAGTCACAAAGGCAGTAGAAACTAAGTTCTATGGTCACGTTGGCGGAATGCTGTTAATGTTTCCCTTGGGTCCTTTCCCCCTTCTTTGCCACTTCAGTGCCCAGGGCTTTCAGACACCAAATAGTTTGGTGTCTGTAGATCCCATGCAATATTTAGGACACATTTATACTAAAAAGTTACTTGTTGTTTATCTGAAATTTCACTGGGCATCCTGTACGGAGGGACAGCCCAAGAATCAGTCAGAATAATCTGTGTGGCTTTCTGGGAAAAGGGAACTCACTGCTCTTCTAGGTTTCTCTCTCTGGGGTAACATAAACTCTGCACAGCTGGCTTAGGCTGTGCCTTCAAGTCACGTCCTGGGCAGAGATGTGAAATGCTGGGATGTGCCCCTGTGTGTGTTTAGGGGTGGAGCAGGGGTGATGTGGGTTGTCTTGTACCAGTCTTCCCTAGCCCCACCCTCTTTCCTCAGAAAAGAAACCCATTCCTGCAGACAATTGGCAGAATGAAGACAGCCTCTGATAACTTGTCTCACGGATTAATTGCAAGCCCCCTTTCACAGAGCTTTTCTTCCGGGAGCAGTGCTAAAGGTGGGAACTTCAGCTGTCCCATGTGGTGTGACTTGTGATGGCCATAGCAGGCGTGATGGTAACTGACGGAATGCTCCCTGCTCTGGTGAATCTGAGGACCAGAAAGGCCAATCCGGCTGCCTTGCTTTGAAAGTGAGACCAAGGAGACCCAAGAAAGGAAGCCCAAGGTCATACAACCATTCAGAACTTGAGTCTGAATTGAAGTCTGG